ACGGGAAGCGACTCGACAACAGGACAAAGGGAAAAAGAAATAGGGAAAATATTTCTCGTTTCAACTCGACTTGACAAATGAAGACCAAGTCGAATGGCGTATCAATCCGTAAGAAAAGAGAAGAGTTAATCCCTCATGATAAAACGACTGACGAATGAAAACACTTGAAGAGATGAAAAGTCTGCGATCAAAGATCTAACAAGACAATCGCCAGAAATTCGTATAAAAATCCCCAGAAAATTCGATGAACATGTAAAAATCCAAGCACAGCGCCCAGAAAAGCAAAAAAAAAAAAGAGAGAAAAAGAAAAAAAAATCGCACACAAACAGTAAATCGAAAGGCATGGAGAACCTACTCATACTCATGGTGATTGATGTAGAACGCCGGAATGAGGAAAGAGCGCTGAAAAGCTTGAGGATGCTGTATTTGCCGAAGAAAGAGAGTTCAGAAAGATTGAGTGCGAAAAGTTAAGAAGAAAAAAGGGGGAGAACACTTATAGGGGAAGTGGAAGAAACCCTAGCCCTCAGATTAAAGTCAGATCCAATGGTTGAGATGGTGCACGGAATACGAAGCGGCGGAGAGAGAAAGCGTCTTATCAAAGCTCAAGACCCCATTTTTGAATTTTGAAATTTGAAAAGATTCAGACTTATCCAATCAATTCGAAATCTGATTGAGTAGACAAGTCGCTTTATGGGTCGAAATAATGAGTAGACGTGGCGTAGAGTAAGGACAGGTGACATGGTATATGAAAAGATTCGAGTGAGACATTCAGTCGACAAAATCTACTCGTAAGCTCAGAGTCGCTTCGAGTAATTTTGGGGGGGGACTAGATGATATAGCCACACTGTCATATAACGACTCAATACCATCGCGGTTCAGAGATTATCGAGTCGACTTACGCGAAGTCAACTTTGTCCGCAGATTCTTTATGGTATCTCCGGTTAAGGGTCCAGGCATTTTTCTCAGTCGACTTCCACATGTCGATTAGCAAAAGTCGATCCCCTCCGGGAAGACGGTCAAGCGCGTCAGGGTCTACTGACGATTGAAGATGACCCAGTCGACTCGGGTTGGTATCCCCAGCCGACTGAGGAAGTCTCGAGATTCGTAGATCTCGACGACCCCAGTACACTTCAACATACCATAGGAAAGTTGTCAAGGATAAGAAGGAATCTAAATGCTGACTAGGAGATGGACGGAATGCGAACCGACCAGGGTATTCTGGACATTTTCCGTAAGTCGGCCAGGGCATTTTGGGGACTTCAGGTAAATGTTTTACTTCTATATAAAGGAGCTAAGGTAACCCCAAAACCCTAACTCCCATTCATTCATACTCTCTTCCATTATTGCTGCTGCTCTCTCAGAGCAGCTCTCCTTTTCTCTCTCTCTCACATACTGACTTGAGCGTCGGAGGCTCTACGCCAAAAACCCCTCCGGCGTTGAGTTCTTGCAGGTTTTCTCGCGGTTCAACGACAGTTTGAAGGCTATCGAGTCAGATCTGAGCTCATTCCCATCGGTTCATTCCAGATCTGGGCGATTTTCCATCGGTCCACTCCAGATCTGAAAAGAGACCCATCAACATGCGTTGGAGGGATTTTGAAAGGGAGCTCATCACAAGGTTTGGCTCTAGTGATTATTACGATTACGATGAAGCTCTATCTCGAATTAAGAAAGTTGGTAGTTTGCGGGACTATCAAAAGGAGTTTGAGCGCATTGCTAGTAGGGTGCGGGATTGGCCCGAGAGTGCGCTAGTTGGGGCGTTTGTTGGAGGATTGAAAGCTGAATTAGCGGCTGAGGTGAGAATGGATAGGCCGAGAACGATGCTAGCAGCCATGGAGTCGGCGAGGTTGCACGAGGATCATCTCGTAGCGGTACGCAAGGCGAGGCCGAGCGACGTGCGCATGGAGCCTAGGCGCACGCACGCCGCGATCGAGGAACAGGGGTCACGGACTGAAAGCAAGCCGTTGGGCGATGTGGTGCGAACAACAAGCAATGTGCGGCGACTTACGGATGACGAGATGCAGCGGTGAAGGTAAAAAGGCCTATGCTACACGTGCAATGAAAAATTCATGCCAGGCCACAAGTTCAAAGGTAAGGAAGTCTATCTGTTGAAATTTGAGGAGGATTGTGTTGGTGAGGAGGAAAGGCCGCAGGAGGAGTCTTTGTTGCATGTGGTTAAGTGCAAAAAGCGTGGTCCTAAGATGATCAGGTTCACTGCTGAGATAAAAGATTTGTTGCTAGAAGTATTGGTGGATAGTGGATCGTGTCTGAATTTTATTGACGAAGGAATAGCCCGGAGATTCAAGCTGGAACCCACCAAAGTCAAGAGGTTTGGGGTCAAGGTGGCCAATGGGCATGAACTACAAGGTAATCAATTGTTCAAGAAGGTTCCGATTATGGCCCAGGATCAGGAGTTAGAAATTGACCTCTACGCCTTACCACTAAAGGCAACTGATATCGTGTTGGGGGTACAATGGCTGGAAACACTTGGGCCCATTACGACTGACTATAGGCGAGGGAAGATGGAGTTTGGTCGACCAGGAAAACGCATTAAGTTGAGAACTGAGGATCAAGGCGACTCTACTATTGAAGAGGACGACAGTGACGTGGATGTGCTGAACTATCTTATCCTTGGGGACAAGGAAAGTCTTAAAGAGGAGGGGAATGATACGAAAGTGGGGACCAGCGCCGGCAAATCTAGTGAGAGCGAAGGGCTAAAATGCGAAGGGTCGCACGAATGGGCGAAGGACTGGTGTGCAGGTGTTGGATGGGACGCGCCAAACAGGGCGCAAGCGCGCATTGAGCACGAGCCGCGACGCGTGGGGCGACGCGGGTGATGGCCGCGACCTAATAGGAGTAGGAGTGTTGGGCGCAACGCGGGGGGCGCGGGAACACGGCGTGAACAGGACGGAGGCAGGTGGCGTGCGCGGCACTCGAGCGGGTCGCGAAGGACACCCACGCACAAGAGGCGGCAAATGGAGTTTTTGAGGAGATGACTTGGAGCTCAAGTAAATTGGAGTGCAAATCAAGTTTGGAGTTATGGTAGTATTAGGATTTTATTTCCTTGTTGCTTTTAATTATAGAAATAGGAGATCTAGATTGATTAGGCTTAGATTTAATTTATGCACCTATAAATACCCATGTACCTCTTCATTAATGAACATGTTGAGAATTGATGAGTGAATAGAAGGGGAACATTGTGTTCTTTCGTGTGTTTAAACAAGGCCATTAGTGCGTGTTTATCATACAAATCGTGTCGGGGAGAAGGCCCTGAGAGCGTCTTGAAGTCACAGTGTTTAAGAGAAGGTCGTGAGTGCGTCTGTTAGTCACACCTATTGTGTGTAGTCGAAGGCCCTGAGTGCGCGATTACTCACAACAGAATAGACAAGGACCGCGATCGCGATTCCCTCATCATTGCATGCCCGCAGGCGGCTGCCGGCTGGCGCTGCACCGCTACGTGCGGGCAGGCCCTACGGTCGGCACCTCGCTGGCCGTCTAGCGAATTTTTCCAGCAAAGCTTACATAGATCAACATGAAATGACTTAAAATGACCGAAAACATATAAATATCTCGGAAGTGTTCGGCTAGAATTTGATATGGCTCAGGAAGGGCTTCTATAGCACCTCCGAGTGCATTAGGGTACTAAACATGAACTAAATGACATGATTTCTACATAATCTTTCTAACATGGACATAAAATAACTAAACGAGAGTTAACATGAATGTACCCTTCCGATCGCTCGAGGAAAATGCTAGTAGTTGCTTGAACTTGCTCGTAGTATCGGTAGTGCACGTGCGATACTCTCTGCAATGGCTATCTCCTCCATTCTACACCTTAACTCTCGGCTAATGCTCTCTATTTTTCCCTCAATATTGCTAAATTTCTCTCGGTTTTGCATGACAAAATCTCATGAACGGTTATGACTTATAAAGAGGTAAAAGATGAAGGTAAAATGATGGTAAATGAAATGGCGCCACTTGCTTGAACTCTAGGCCATGGTGGCATTTTCCGAGCTTAGTCATCATGCTAGGTGGCGTGTGGATTGCTTGGTCATCAAGTGAAGGCTTAATAAAATGCCACATAATATTAAGCTAGTAGGTGACTAATAGGTGCAAGTTGCACAAAACATATCCTTACCATGCTTCACTCACGGCAATTAGTAGGGCTTTAAGCTAGGATTAATTAGGGCCACTCATGATACTTACTAGCACATAAACTTACCATGCACGGTAGCTTAGCGGGCAGCGCACGCACGCACGGTGATGATGTGCATTACTCCTGGCGATGGCGCGCGTACTCGCGCCCGGCTATGCACGGCGCGCGCATGCCCTAGGCCGAGTTGCTAGTTAACGCTTGATAATGCTATGTACTTAGAAAATTTGATGCTTAACATGAACTTGGCTTCGAAATTTAATTCGAACATCTCTATCTCCAATAATCAATCCCGACTAATAATGTCCGTTTATAAATTTAACGGTTCAGAAATTAATTATCGAAATGAACTCGATCAACAAAATAAACCGGATAGACTTTCGACTTAAAGTCGAACTTATTGGCTCGAAAACTGAAAATGGGCATTATTAACAAAAGGAAATACATTACTTTTATTAATAACGAACTGGGTTATTACAATTTAGGTCTTAATAATATATAAATTGGGGATCTAACCTTAATCCCTTTTTTTTGTAAAAAAAAAAAAAAAAAAAAAATGTATATAGCCGAGCTATTCTTCGTGGAGAGTGGCCTGGAAAGTAAATGAAATAAGTCAAAATTTACAGAATACGAATTCCTTACAGTAAAATCTTATTAGAGGATCGAAGGAAAAGAAAAATCTATAAATGATTGCAAAATACAAGCGATACATCAGTCTGTAATTTATTGCAAAATGTCTCTTACATAGATGGATTATTGCGATATCCCGCAATTTATCTCGTGATATTATTGACTTCCAAATGCATATTCAAGATTAGTGAAACCTTGTAAAGAGAGGTCATGGTGTTTATTAAGCATCCTTCGACGGAAAATTATGTGCCTCGACTTTACGTGAGTTGCAATGCTCGTCACGTGAGTCACCCCTCTCAAACACAGCAGCGGCCCCCATCCCAGTTCCTAAAGATGAAATGCATAAAACTTAAATGTCTGCTCAAAGAAAATAAGTGATACATGTTTAAAAGTGTAATGCTTGAGAGAGAGAGAGAGAGAGAGAGACCTATGCACATTGACACAACTCCAAAGCGACAATCTTTGCCACGACGCTTCATTTCGTGGAGTAAGGTAGCAACACAACGAGCGCCTGTCATCACACAACGCATTAAATAATTATATGAAAATATAATTTCAAAAATCTCATTCCAACAAGTCTCATACAATTTCGAAGCCAACCAATTCACATTTACAGGAAAAGGCTAACAATTCCAACTGATTTTAAATATAAGGTAGATTTTAAAGACGGGTAATTTTGCGGAAATACTGTAATAAAATGGATATAAATAGGACAGATTTAGAACCTCAGCATTCAAGCAGACACGGAACAATGCTCCGGGTACATCAGGCACCAGTGATATGGAATAACGTTTCAACTAATTCCTAAATTTAGTAAGTTTCAGTTGCAGATCACGATCATCATAACCATTTTAACAGATATATACCTGTTGCACCCAAAGGATGTCCAATTGCCATGGCACCTCCATTGACATTGATCTTCTCAGGATCGAGCTCGAGCTTCTTATGGCAGTAGATATATTGCGAAGCAAATGCCTGGATATCATTGATGATGAAATGCTTGCAACACTTTTGAAGCATAAGCCATTAAAAACAACAACAACATACCCAGTATATTCCCAGTATATTCCCAGCTGGTTGGGGTCTGGGGGGTCAATTGTACACAGACCTTAACCTTGTAATTATACAAGGAGGCTGTTTCCGTAGCGACCCAAGGTGCATTGCGTCGTTTGATATATTTTTTTTTTCTAGAAACTTCACTAATAGAAGAAGCACGAAAATTTAATTGAGTCATTTTGATCTAGTCCATTATTAGCGCTTAAGCCATTATTCTAAAAAAAAAAAAAGAAATACCTCATTTATCTCAAAAATATCAATGTCCCCAAGTTCAAGACCAGCAAATCTAACAGCTGCTGGAATAGCAACTGCTGGACCAATACCCATGACTGCAGGATCTACACCAACTGCAACAAAGCTCCTGCAGGGGCAAGGCAAAAAAGATTACTTCGGCCGACTGAAATTAGATATCTATCTTAAGATTTTAATAGATTCGTCTTTTAGTACCATAGACCTCTTCATAAATAATTAATGATACACCTGAAGCAGAACAATTTCATATTATAAACTTGCTTGCCAATGATGATAATAAAGGACAAATGACTAATCTACGGGTTTGTCAATGCAGCAATCAATAGGAGGAATGAGAAGTTATTGAAAAAATACTTGTAGCCCAGTAAGACATATGACTAGCACAAGCACAAAACCAGAAAGTTATTTCAAAAAAACCTGGAACATACGAACTTGAAAGGCGTTTGGCAACTTGAGCATAGGCAGGTTTTTTCTAGTCACATAAATGCAAGATTCATAGTGTAATATTACAAACCTGAATACACCAAGAATAAGTAACTCCTTGTGCATGGCAACACTTCTCTTCATGAGAAGCACAGCTCCAGCACCGTCACTCACTTGGCTAGAATTTCCTGAGTTAAAGAGTAGAAATATAGGTAAATACATTTATTTTTCCAAAACGTTTTCTGATGATATAGGTTCTACTTACCAGTCGTGGTACTGGTTTCAGCTTGCCCAGTTCGGCCACTGAGCTATTTGGTCAGATTCCATCATCGACAGATATTGTCACCGACTTCTCATCCCCAGATTTAGGGTCCACAATCTTACATAATAAGAACAAAAGATGAGAAAAATATAAACTCGAAGGGAAGAGAAAAAAATTACATAAAAACTCTCAACTGACACAGTTCATACCTTGGTCTTAACGGGTATTATCTCGTCCTTAAATTTTCCTGAAGCAGTGGCTGCAGCAGCTTTTCTGTGTGACTCAACCTGACAAGGATGTTGGGAAGAGACATGAACATGAAACTTCACGTTTGAAGATCATGTCAACTAATTTCTTTATAATTAACTTACTACAGCTTGAACTTGCTCCTGCCTTGTTACTCCAAGACGTTGAGCGGCATTTTCTGAGGTGATACCCATTGGAAGGAGACAATCTTATACCATCGTTTTCACCTGAGAATTACTTCGTTGAATGTCAATCTTCACACTCACCAACTGAAACCATAGCTGGGCAATTAAAATTACAATGTAATGCAGAAAAGAAGTTTACCCTTGGATTAACTGATACTTCCCCAGCCATAGGATTAACAGTCATTTACTCCAAGCCAACACCAATCCCTGTTTCACAAAGAAATGTCTAACAGTGATTGAAATTATCTTATTAATTTCAAAGGTGGAGGACTATGAGCAACTCGGAGATTACACACCAATATCATAAAACCCAGCTTTGATAGCTGCAGCAACATCAACTACATCTTGCAAACCAGATGAGCATTGCCAATTCACGGTTCTAACAGGTACAGTTTCTGCATGAAAAACAATAATATAAGATTTCAATAAAGTTATAAAGCCAAAACTGAAATGGAAAAAAGGTCTAAGAATACACAAGGGAAACCAGCATAAAATGCAGCCATTCTGCATTCACCTGCTCTCTGGGATACCGGAGCCAGCACGGTGCCAACGAGAATGTCCCCAACTTCAGTTGCATTCACATTTGTTCTCTCAAACAAAGCCTGTAGCATAAAGCAGTAGCCAACTAAGTATTTATAAGAAAATTATCAACTTTAGGATTTGTTAAACACAAGACTAAAGTTGAACCAGTTCTTCATATTTACAGTGAAAAGACAAGTCTACCCTCTGTTTATTGTAATCACATGCAGCCTGTGAAGAAGCACAAGATCGATACACGTGTCACTCATCCTAAGGCTCACATGCATGCAGTACAACATGAGAGAATTGGAAACCTGCCAACCTAGTATAAATACTAGTGCAGTAACCCTAGCCGTTTTGATGAAATATTATATTCTATCTGTAAAACTCTTAGCTTGTAATGAATGAAAAGCTTTTCTTATGTCTTGTCAAAATCATGCATTTGCTTTCATGGTACCAGAGCGGGTCGATCACCCGTGACTGATCCTTTATCTTAAATAAGGTAGCTTTCTGTCACCATGGCCGATTCTAGCCACTCAGGCATTGGATCTGGTCCTCATCTTCAAAATCCTCAAACAAGCAATACATCTTCACTTGTCTTTCCTCAAAGCCAGTTGATTTCAACAAAACTAGATGAAAATAATTTCTTGATTTGGAAGCAACAAGTGATAACTACTATAAGAGGGTATGGATTGGAGAGATTCATCGACTCAGAGTCATCTCCTCCATTGCAGTATGTCACAGATCCAGACACTCATGAGAAAAACATGAATGCAGATTTTATTTTGTGGCAAAGGCAAGATCAACTTCTTGCATCTTGGCTCCTATCTTCCATCAGTGAACCCATCTTGATCCAAACCGTTGGTCTCAATACAGCAAGAGAGATCTGGAGTTCTCTTCAAACCAACTTTGCTAGTCAAACAACAGCAAAGTTGATGCAATACAAGATCCAGCTGCAGAGCTTGAAGAAAAACAACCTCACCATGTCTCAATACCTAAACCAGATGAAGATCTGCTTTGACTACCTTGCTTCAGCTGGTCAACCTGTCAAAGAAGCAGACAAGATTATTCATATCCTCAGTGGTTTAGGTTCTGACTATGATGCTGTAATGGTGTCTGTTACATCAAGGATTGAGCCCTACACTGTCACTGAAGTTCAAGCATTGCTCTTGAGCTATGAGGCCAGGTTGGATATCAACACCAGGCTAACTCCCAACACCTACATGGAAGGCTCTCAGCCATCTGTCAACACTGCCACTCAAGCCTCTCAAAAGAAAACCTTCAACAATGACCAATTCAAAGGAGGTTTCAGAGGGTCTTCTAGCAATAATAGAGGAGGAAGATCAAGTGGCAGAGGCTATAGGGGGAGAGGAGGAAGGTTTCAAGGAAGTAGGCCTGTGTGCCAAGTTTGCAAGGTCACTGGCCACACAGCAGATAGATGCTGGTACAGGTTTGACCAAAGTTACTCCCCTCAGCAACAGCCCACTAACAACAACAACTTTGCCAACAGAAATCCTTCTCTCAACTTGACTCAGTATGGTGGTTCTTCAAATGCTTCTGAGTTTGGAAATGAAAGTGTTTGGTATCCAGACTTAGGAGCTTCTGCTCATGTAACTAATGAACTAAGCAACTTGAGCATAGCATCTGACTACACAGGACCAAGCAGGCTTCAAGTTGGCAATGGCACTGGAGTTTCCATAAACCACATTGGTAAAGGTTTTCTTAAGCCCTTAAATAATAACCAAGCATTTCTACTTAATGAATTGTTGCATGTCCCTTCTATCACTAAGAACCTTATTAGTGTCTCCAAATTTGCCCTTGACAATAATGTGTTTTTTGAACTCCATCCATCTTTTTGTCTTGTCAAGCATCAAATCACTCAAGCCACTCTTCTCAAAGGGACTGTTAAGGATGGTCTCTACTTCTTCAACCTACAACGAACTTCAAGTCAGCAGCAGTCAACAAACTCAACTTCCTCAAATTTTAAGAACCCTTCAGTTAGTTATGTTGCTTTCAGTAAAGCCCCTAGCTTAGATATTTGGCATCAAAGACTTGGCCATGCCAGTCTTGACATTGTTCAAAAGGCTCTCAAGTCTTGTAATCACTCTTATTTTATCAATGAAAGTTCTAATTTATGCACCTCCTGTTCTGTTGCTAAGAGCCATAAATTACCTTTTTGTTCATCTGATACTATCTATAATGCTCCTCTTGATCTCATCCACACTGATTTGTGGGGACCTGCTCCAATAAAATCATCAAATGGTTACATATATTATGTTATCTTTGTTGACCATTTTAGTAGATTTACTTGGTTGTATTTGCTTAAGGCTAAGAATGAAGTTCATGAAGTTTTTCTTCATTTTAAAAACCTTGTGGAAAACCAACTTAATACTAAGATTAAAAGAGTACAATCAGATGGTGGCACTGAATATAAAACTCTTTCAAAGGTTTTTCATGATTGTGGAATTGAGCACAGGATCTCTTGCCCCTATACTCCCCAACAAAATGGGGTTGCAGAAAGGAAGCACAGACATTTAACTGAGATGGGCTTAGCTCTACTTCACCACTCTAAAATGCCAGTCAGATTTTGGGATGATGCCTTTGTAGCAGCCTGTCATATCATCAATAGGATCCCAGCAAGAGGACTGAATTTCTTACCACCCTTTGAGCTTCTGTTCAAAAGGAAACTAGATTATTCATCATTGAAGGTCTTTGGCTGTCTTCGCTTCCCTCATATCAGGCCTACCAACAAACATAAGCTGGAATACAGGTCACAGCCTAGTGTGTTCTTAAGATACAGCCCACACTTCAAAGGGTACAAGGTATTGCTTCCATCAGGAAAAGTAATTGTTACAAGGAATGTGGTTTTTGATGAAAACACTTTTCCTTACAAAGATAAAGAACAGGCTCATGAAAAGGGAGGTCAACCTCACACTCCCATAACTTTACCTGCTCTTGAGAAGTTTTTCCAAATGGATCAAGAGAAGGTTCAAGGTCAAGAACAACAACAAAATCCAAACCAGGCCACTGACATCATAAGTACACCAGTTAGCAGAAGTCACAACCAATCTGAAGCAAGCTCTCAAGAGAGGGGCTCAAGCTATTCCACAATTCCACTTGTGGTAAACCTGCCAATATCAGAGAATGAAGAACAAACCACTCAAGATCAGGAGACACATGAGCCTATGAATCTACATCCTATGATAACAAGGGCAAAAGTTGGGATCTACAATCCAAAGGTATACAATCTTGATACTCAAAGTAGAGAACCAGATTCTCTTGATCAAGCATTACAAGACCCTAAATGGAAGGCAGCTATGGATGAAGAGTACAATGCCCTTATCAAGAACAAGACTTGGAGTTTAACCACTTTACCAGAAGGAAAGAATCTTGTTGGCAAAAAATGGGTTTATAAGGTCAAGAGGAACTCAGATGGCACTATCAACAAGTATAAAGCAAGACTTGTTGCTCAAGGATTCTCACAAGCACCTGGGTTTGATTTTACAGACACCTTCAGTCCAGTGGTTAAACCCACAACAATTAGAGTGATCATGACTATAGCTACCTTCCATTCCTGGCCCATTCTTCACCTTGATGTTGACAATGCATTCCTCAATGGTGAACTTGAGGAAGAAATCTACATGAAACAGCCATATGGCTTTGAAAGGGAAGGAAATCACTTGGTCTGTAAATTGTCAAAGGCACTTTATGGCCTTAAGCAAGCTTCAAGGACTTGGTTCACCAAGATAAAGTCTGTGCTATTAGACTTAAACTTCAAGAACTCAAGAGTTGATACCTCTCTTTTTGTTCTAAATGAGAATGGACAGATGACATACCTTCTTATCTATGTGGATGACATACTGGTCACTGGGAGTAATTGTTGCACCACAGAGAGAGTTATTAATAAGCTCAAGGAGACTTTCTCTCTGAAGAATATGGGTGAAGTTCAACACTTTCTGGGTATAGAAGTTGTAAGAACAGCTCAAGGGTTGCATTTGAACCAGTCAAGCTATGTGAAGCAGCTTCTTGAGAAAGTTAATATGGCAGAAGCAAAAGGTTGTCCAACACCAATGGTCTCATCTCTACATTTGTCCAAGTATGATGGTGAGTCAGGAGTTGATGGAACTCTTTACAGAAGGGTAGTAGGAGCCCTTCAATATGCAACAATCACTAGGCCAGAAATCAGTTTTTCTGTTAATAAAGTAAGTCAGTTTATGGCATCTCCTTTAGTGCCACATTGGAAAGCAGTCAAAAGAGTTTTGAGGTACTTAGCTGGGACAATCGACTTTGGACTGCACTTCATGAAGTCAAGACATCTAAATCTAACAGGCTTTTCTGATTCAGACTGGGCAGGTGACTGTGATGATAGAAAGTCTATGACAGGGTCTTGTGTATTCCTTGGTGAGAATCTCATTTCCTGGTCAGCAAAGAAACAAAATTGCATTTCAAGGTCAAGTACAGAATCAGAGTACAGAAGTTTGGCTTATAAT